TGTGTGTGTGTGTGTGTGTGTGTGTGTGTGTGTGTGCTTCATGTTGCTCTAGAGAACGCTGAATGATGTAGAGAGTAGAGAAGACATGATTATTTTACTAGCCGGAAAGAATCCTGAAGAAGGGGACAGATTTATGCTGCTGATGGAAGAGTGCAGAACAGGGGTGAACTACATCCAAGGAGAGTAGCTTCCAGGATTTGAGAGCCAGAACATACATGATGTGTTTTGACTAAGAAAAGAAAAACATATTACGCCCTCGAAGAATCGTAACAATGAACCAATGTGGCAGCGAAGTGCCATAGGAAGGATGCAGAATTTCGGATCAGACAGATGAAGTCTCTGCATGTATTTGATCAAATTATTTAATTTTTGAATCTCAATTCCCCAACTTACAAAATGCAGATAATCAAAACTTATCATATTTTTTATGAGAATCAAATGAGATAAAAAATAAAGTGAGTCCAACCTATAGTTGACACTAAAAAACTGTAGCTGCTGCTAGTCTTATCTTTATTATTTTTACATGTATAATGATGCTGCCTTAGAAGTTTTCGTATGCTTAATTGAAAACCTCTGAGATGCCGGCAGATGACGGGGACCTGCAGCTGTAAGCTATCGCAGTAGTTAGAAGACGTCGAATATCAAATGTTTCAGGACGCGCTAGTGTCCCTGGATACATCATCTTACTTCGTTCTTACCGTATGCTGTAGGCATGTTTTTCAAAGAAGGAAATACAGATTCAGAAGCTTAAAAATCCTCCTTTCATCCCTGTTTTTGTTGTCCCTTTTTGTACGACCACCAGCTCTTAAGGTCAAGCCATGCATGGGGATCTGACCTCTTTCATTCATATAAACACGCCTGGCATGTACATGTACGGACAACGTACAATCCATACTTGGAAGAAAGGGACAGAAATAAGGAACTGCTGGGACCAGCAGATGGCGTGATGGTTATGTGGCTGGATTCCATGTAGTACACCGCAGTTTGAGTCCTGGACCTGATGACTTAAAACTCACACTTATGGGGGGGGGGGTCGGCAGTTGGCATGGTAGTTAAGGACATTGGACTCCCACATGGTCGACCACTGTTTAAGAACTTGCCTGCAGTTCAAGTCCCAGATCTGGTGGCTTGCTTTCTTACTTTCTCTCTCTCTCTTTCTCTCTCTCTCTGCCCCTCTCTGATCAAATTTAAATAAATAAATAAAGCTAAATAAAAGAAATCTTTTTTTTAAAAAAAAAAAAAAACCTATATTTATTTTATTTTAATTTGACCAGAGAGAGAAAGCTGCCAAGTCTGGGACTCTAATCACAGTCAGCCATGTGGGAGTCCAGTGCCCTTAATCACCATGCCACCTGCCAGCCCCTAAAGTAATTCTTTAAAAAAAAAAAAAGCCCTCACGTTGGGCATGTGTGGGTGCATGCCCAAAATCCTGAGAGGAGAATGGAGGAAAGGGGATTCTGGAATGGCCATCCCCCCTGGGGTAATTTCTCGCTTTCTGTCTCTGTCTCTGTCTCTCTGGCAAGTGCACATGTCCTATAGCAAAAATCTCTTAAAAAAAAAAAAAAGAGAGAGAGAGAGAGAGAAAGAAGAAAGAAAGAAAGAAAGAAAAAGAAAGAGAAAAAAAAAGAAAAAGCAAGCAAGCAATAAGGAACTACTTCTTCCCGAAGTCGCTTCCTTCCCCTCTGCAATGAACAGCATTTGTCATACTTGCCTGGATAGTGAATGAAACAGGTTCTTCCCACACTCTTCCATCCACTACGAAGCCTTGGTTTACCCTGTCTGTGGCCACAAAAGTGAAGCGGTCAGGCTGGGGGTCCCCTCCCCAGTGCCGATAGGCCACGTTCCCGCTGTCCACATCCTGCTGAGTGAAGTTGCGCTGAAGCAGCGCCATGCCCCGCAGGAGGAGCTGGCCCTGCCGTGGGAGCTGGGCCAAGAGGAAGGTGAGGTTCTCTGCGGGTGTGTCAGGGTCCGTCAGCTGCAGGAGGTCAGGGGACAGCAGACCCATGGCCCCTTTGGCCAGCCTCAACCCCTTGTTCCGGGTCAACGCAGGCAAGGCCGTGTCCACAGGCTCCAGCGTGATCTCCAGCACCCCGTGTCTGGTTCGCAGTCCATTGCTGATGATGAATCTGGCAAAGAGAGGCAAGGCAGCCTTCAGCATGGGTTCTGGAGTCACCATCGACTGGAATGAAACGGTAACAACGCACACCTTTACTACAGGACAGGCTGTGCTGCGACTCAGGTGAAAATGAAGGCAGATCTTTCAGAAGGAAGCCTTTCTAATGTGAAACCAGTCACCGCGTAACACATCAGCTGACCCATCCAGCCCAAGACTATCTTCTCAACAACTGGCAGTAGACTCGTGGGATGGAATAGGCAACCACCAAGGACGGCTTTCAAGCTCATCCGTGCTTGACGCAGTTCTTGCCCAAGATAGGAATTTCACATCCAATTAGACCTAGTATGTGAGTGTGAAGAGTATATCTATTTCATATATTTATAATTTTGCAGTTGTATTTTTTCATAGGGTAAGAAGCCAAACTTTTAAGAGGATACTTGGCGGGGGTGGGGGCAATACTGTAAAGTACTGAATAGGCTAAACAGGACTAATTCATTCTGTTCATGTCTTCATGGTAAAGTTCTTAAAGGCAGATCACATCCTCAGCCATGTCATCTTACCTAACTCATCTCTCCTTTCTGGAACTTTCACTCTTCTATAAAAGGAAGAGAAGGACCAGGTGGTCACTATGTACCATCTAACTCCAAAGTATGATGGGAAGCAGTTCACGTACGCTTCTATATTTGTTCCTCAAAAGATATGATGCTAGACAAGGAAAATATCCCTGCTTAAAAGAAAGGTTCAGGGGCTGGCAGGTGGCTAAACTCCCGCCTGGTCAACTGTGGTTTGAGTCCCGAACCTGGAAGTTTGCTTTCTCACTTTCTCTCTCTCTCTCATTCTATTCCTCTCTGGTTAAATTAAAATAAATAAATAAATAAAGTTAAATAACATAATTATTTTTTTTTAAAAAAAGGAAAGGTTCAGAAACTTGGTGGGAGATCACAGGGCAGCGAAGAGATGGAGCTGGGATTAGAACTCAGGTCTCTTAATCCTATGCACTCTGCTCTTGCGGCTTCTAGTAAATGCTGGCTTAGCAATCCACTAGAAAGAGCTGAAGTACCTGGTCACCACCACAGAACTGTGAAGAGACAGCTGAGACAATGCACACTCGATAAGCAGACTCTCTCACATCTTGGGTTATGATCATGCAACGCGCTTCTGCTTATATTGATCACTATACCACATTCTAGCCATTTTGGTCAAGCTCGCGGTAACGCTAATAAAGTGATCTCTGTAAGACTTCAATAAGTGCTTTTCATTTTAAGGAGAACTAAGACTACTATGAAATTACGTCAACTAGCTGCAGTGTTTAAACTCTAAAAATTTAGAAAACCACTATCAAATGGGATCGACAGACTCACTACAGACCAAAGACCGCTTAGAAATAATCACAGAGTTGTGCCTTACTAGTCTTTCTCCCTGTACCGTAATTGCCAGAAAGATTCATGGAAGTCACACAATCATATTCCGCTGAGGTACAAGTCTCTAAAAATACTATTTTAGTGGAATACAACATTGATTAATATAAAAATTTTCTTTGAAATTTGGTTTTTGCTTTTTAATGTTTTTGGTACCAGGTGCGTGCACTCACCAGAGAGGGAGAGGAGAGAGCGCCCCCATGTAGGATGGTCATGCTGTAATCCCTTCTCCACCTTTCCCTCCTTTCAGAATTTTAGGCACCCAAGGACCAGCAGTTAGCGTAATGGCTATGTCGCTGGACTCCCATGTAGTCAACCGCGGTTCGCGTCCTAGACCTGATGGCTTGAGACTCACACCGGGTGTGTGTGTGTGCGTGCCCAAGATCCTGAGAGGAGAACGGAGGAGAAGGGACTGCGGCATGGCCATCCCCCCTGGGGGGTGATTTCTCGCTTTCTGTCTCTCTGTCTCTATCTGTCTGGCAAACGCACGTGCCCTATAGCGAAAACCTCTCAAAAAAAAAAAAAGAATTTTAGGCACCCACACACCTGTGTGTGTGTGTGTGTGTGTGTGTGTGTGTTTGTGTGTGTGTGTGTGTTTCTCAAGCTTTGGGCTCCTGGACCCAAACAGTGTGCCGTGTGAGGTCTGGCTATCTTAACCACCAGGCCACGAAGATGACACTAAGCTTCTCTTTTTAGAACTAGAGAAGACGGAGGGTTTACATTTATTTTACTAGTCTGGCGAATTTGACTAACAAGGTTTTTATTCTGTGTGAAATGTGTCTTGTCCATTAGAGTTTCAAGGCATTTTACTTTTTTAGCAGGAAGGAGTCTGAAAACAGGTCACATGAGTGCAATGAGTTGACCTGCCCACCTGGGAACCCAGGAAGGAGAACAGCTGGACAGAAAGTAAAGGGAGACGAGTTGGAGCAAGTGCAGATTTCGCTCTGAATGGTAGGTAGGCTGATGATTTTGAGTTTTCTAGTTATCTAGTTAAAAAGACTGCCTAAAAGGAAAATGTGATGGGATGCACAGAAAAAGGAATCTATGTCAGAAGTTCAAATTGTTAAGTGAGATACAAGAAATAAAATAAATTTTGATATTTAACACACTTAGACACAGAAAGAATGTAACCTGCTTTTCCCCCACATTATTTTTACAGTTTGAGTAAGAGTATTGAGTTATCTTTAGAGCTATAGACAAGAAAAATCAGGTGCCCTAAAACAAAACAATTATTTTTCTTTTTGTAAAACTGACCTTTGATAAATATATCCTAAGCAAATTTGGCAATGCCATTGCTGGATCATGAGATGTTTAGGAAATTATTTATTTACATAAAAGAAAAAAACACATCTAGAGAAATATCTCTTTTCTTGAAACTTTTACTTAATTTAGTCATCTTGGCAATTTCAAAATTCAAGTGGTAAATATTTTTAGGTGTAAAACATGCTACAATATTTCTCAGGCAAAGCCCTATGAAATTTTGCCTTTACTTTATCACTTTCCTGTTATTTATTTATTTATTCATTTTTGAGAAGTTTTTGCGATAGGGTGCATGCGCTCGCCAGAAAGACAGAGAGACAGAGAGACAGAAAGCAAGAAATCACCCCCCAGGGGGGATGGATGGCCACACCGCAATCCCTTCTCCTCCGTTCTCCTCTCGGGATCTTGGGCATGCACACATACGTGTCTGGCATGAGTTTAAGCCACCAGGTCCAGGACTCGAACTGTGGTTGGCTTCATGGGAGTTCAGTGACATAGCCATTACGCTAACTGCTGGTCCCACTTTCCTGTTACTTTTTCACATCCCCCCTTAGATTCTGTCTCTAATCCAAGGTAAAATGAGGAGGAGGAGGCTAGGCAATCTATCAATGCCATGTTCTCTTTCCACTTTACCCCTCCAGAAATAATGTGGCACCTCTCACTCTAACCTGGGATAAAATAGCCCTCTCTCTTCTTAACTGGATCCCTGCATCAAGCGTGCTCTCTGGAGAGTGTTAAATTAGCCATTGGTGTTTAGTACTATCCACGTGACATGAGCCAAAAGACACGTATTGGTAATATAAGCATTCCTTGCAGAGGTAAGACTTTGTGTCCCATTCAGAATCTATCAAGTACTAGTGGAGAAGGAAAGGAAAAAAGGGAAGGCATGACCAGGAGCAGCAAGGTTAAACGCCAGTCAGGGAGCACAGGGGTGCTCACAGAGGCAGCCATTTTGAATACCTGCTTCTGACTTTCCTCTCTGGGGACTGAATTCCAAAAATGCTTGACTGGGTCCTTTAAGCTCAGCCTCAGCTTGGCCCTTGTTGCTCTGTGCATGCCTGACCTCTGTGAGGGCACCAAAACTGTCCTACGATCCAGGCTGTCCATCTCAAACTCCTCCCTGCCTGATTTGGGATCTGACCACACTGAAAATAGGCAGCCTGCCATCAGACAGATGGGAACAAGGGCACGCAGGCCAGGGACCATAGAAGAGTAAGAAATATGTTTACTGAAGCCAGTGTACCCAGCTGGGACACCGAGGCAGCTGTCTGCACTGACCTAACGCTAATAAGCCAGGGGTAAAAAGGATGCCATTTCTAAACAGGACTAGATCAAACGCATCACTCCACTTTCATGGGGAACAATGCAAACTGCACATGGGCAGTGAAACGTTAGCAGAGAGAGACAGAATGAGTGGTCATGGTTGAGTTCCCAGTCAAAATAAAGCTAGCAGAACGAGTGAGCCAAGGTCAGTGCTGCTCAAGGAAGCCTGCAAAAGTTGACCAGGTCATCTTCCAGATACACCCTCCGCACAAACGCATCACTCCACTTTCATGGGGAACAATGCAAACTGCACATGGGCAGTGAAACGTTAGCAGAGAGAGACAGAATGAGTGGTCATGGTTGAGTTCCCAGTCAAAATAAAGCTAGCAGAACGAGTGAGCCAAGGTCAGTGCTGCTCAAGGAAGCCTGCAAAAGTTGACCAGGTCATCTTCCAGATACACCCTCCGCCCCCCAACCCCCACCCCCCAAAAAACCCCCTCCAAATGTATTCTCAGGGTTTAAAACAGTGCCGTCGCTACACTGGTATCCATTCCGAGGTGAAGAAGCTGGTGGTATCAAGGTAGCGGCTCCTTCGGTGGGTCCATTTTGTTTCATTTCCTTTATTACAACCCCCTGAGAAGAGATGCAGCCAAGATGGCCACCATTCTCATGAAATCTGGGGAATGACTCTCAGATTTGTCTGGGGTGCCTGCCTGGTCTGATTTCACCATTACCACAGTGCTTTCAAGCTTTCTGCATTTCCTGGCAATAGAGTTGGCTGAAGAATCTGCCATCTGTCATGGCATTTAAAAGATAAAAATGGAATCATAAATAAAGCCAGCTCCTCAGGAAAAAAAAAAAAAAAAAAAGTCCAGCCGGCATGTCAAAATGGAGGACATTAGCATGTTCTTTTAGGACCTGGCTGCCAGCAGCTGAAGTCAGCTTGCTAATCACTTGGTGTCATCTGTCCTAGAACGTGCTGCCAAATCTCTCTTCCAGGCCAGCAGCACCAAACAATGCAGGAGAAATTTATGATTCACAAAATATTTTTGCAGAAGGTAACATATGA